AACAAACACATGAAAGGATGCTCAACATCATTAATCATTAGAGAAATGCAAATCAAAACTACAATGAGATATCATCTCACACCAGTCAGAATGGCCATCATCAAAAAATCTAGAAACAGTAAATGCTGGAGAGGGTGTGGAGAAAAGGAAACTCTCTTGCACTGTTGGTGGGAATGTAAATTAATACAGCCACTATGGAGAACAGTATGGAGGTTCCTTAAAAAACTAAAAATAGAACTACCATACGACCCAGCAATCCCACTACTGGTCATATACCCTGAGAAAACCATAATTCAAAAAGTCATGTACCACAATGTTCATTGCACCTCTATTTACAATAGCCAGGACATGGAAGCAACCTAAGTGTCCATCATTGGATGAATGGATAAAGAAGATGTGGCACGTATATACAATGGAATATTACTCAGCCATAAAAAGAAACGAAATTGAGATATTTGTAGTGAGGTGGATGGACCTAGAGTCTGTCATACAGAGTGAAGTAAGTCAGAGAAAAGCAAATACCATATGCTAACACATATATATGGAATCTAAGGAAAAAAAAAAAGGTCACGAAGAACCTAGGGTAAGACGAGAATAAAGACACAGACCTACTAGAGAATGGACTTGGGATATGGGGAGGGGGAAGGGTAAGCTGCGACAAAGTGAGATAGTGGCATGGACATATATATATACGCTACCAAACGTAAAAGAGGTAGCTAGTGGGAAGCAGCCGCATAGCACAGGGAGATCAGCTCGGTGCTTTGTGACCACCTAGAGGGGTGGGATAGGGAGGGTGGGAGGGAGACGCAAGAGGGAAGAGATATGGGAACATATGTATATGTATAGCTGATTCACTTTGTTATAAAGCAGAAACTAACACACCACTGTAAAGCAATTATACTCCAATAAAGATGTTAAAAAAAAAAACCTCTACAGTAAGAACAAACAAGCTAATTAAAATGGGCAAAGGATTTGAACAGACATTTTACCAAAGAGGTTATACAGACAGCAAATAAACACAAGAAGAGGTGTTCTACATGATTAGTCATTACTGAAATGAAAATTACACCCACAGTGAGTCATCACTGCTTATTTATTAGAACAGCAAAAAATAAAAAATATTGACAAGTGTTGGTGAAAAGGAACAGTGGAACTCATCCATCACTGATGGGAATGTAAAATGATGGTCCCTTAGGAAAGCAGTTTAGTCATTTCTCATAATACTGAACATACATTTATCATACCCATTCCACTCCTAGGTGTTTACCCAAGAAACTTAACACAGAGACCTGTACACAAATGTTTAGAAGAGCTCTATTCATAATTGCCTCAAGTTGGAAACGACCTGTCCCCCCTCCCCGGGACAAGGGGATGAGTGAACACTAGATCACAACTCAGCCATGAAAAAGAATGTACTATTGATACACCCAGCCACTTGGATAACTCTCAAAGGCATCATGATGAGGGAAAGAAGACAATGTTAAAGATTATATTGTATTATTTTGTTCCTCTAACAGTCTCAAAAAGACAAAACCATAGTGGTGGAGAACAGATCAGTGGTTGTCAGGGGTTGGGGTGGGAGAGGATGTGAATACCAATGGGCAGCCTGAGAGAGTGTTTTGGGGGTGATGGAACTGTTCTATATTGGATTATGGTGATGGTTGCACGAATCTACACGTGTTACAGTTTATGAAACTGTATATCAGAAAGTCAATTTTAATGTATAATAATTAAAAAAAACAAAAATAGAAAATAAAAGACAACAAGGTTATCAAATGTGAATAACCACCACTAGCCTCTCCCACTTATACTTCCCCCATGCTGTGCTTTTAGTCATTCATTTAATACACACTTAGGTAGCACCTAATCGGTGCCAAGCAATTTAAAAGTAACTGAAAGAATTCTGACTGATGGGAAGAACTCGAGACAGGCAGTCCCTTCCCCTCTGGGGTTGTTACAGTAGGAAAATTTTCTTATCAATATATTTACAATGCTAAAATTAATATCAAAGCAATGCTCTGCTTGGAGAAGAAAGTTATTTTCCCATAATAGCCTTGAGAGGGAGGGAAGGAAGATTTTAGAGATACACATACTGAAAGGAGATTCAAGGTAGGTTTTAGAGATACAGAAAGTGAACTAAGGTCCAGTGACAGACCCAGTTTCACGGGGTGTATTAGTATTAAAATGCAACCCTTCAAATTCCCAGGGCAAGGGCTTCAATTCTATTTCAAAATTGCGCTAATGTTGCAATATGTTTCAAGATTCTTAAAATTGTTCAGACCTCTGTCCTAGTTATTCCATTTCTGGGAATCTAAGGATATAATGTAAAATGTGGGCACATCTTTACGCAAAACACATTTAGTGCAGTGTTACTTACAATAGTTAAAATCTATATGTCTAGACTCACAGGAAATAAGGAAAACCATGTATGCAGTGGTCTAGATTTTACATTTTAGTAGCAGAAGAATTACTTGGAAACATGTTTGATACAATGTTAAATAAAAAGAACAAGATATAAAATTTTACATATAAAATAATCTTAACTGTGTTTTCAAAAAGATAAATAATTCTGGGGGAAAGTTATACAAATACTGATGATTAAAGAAAAATTGGTATAACATTTTCAAGGTCAATTTCAATAGCATCAAAAATCTAGATAGGGCTTCCCTGGTGGCTCAGTGGTTGGGAGTCCGCCTGCTGATGCAGGGCACACGGGTTCGTGCTGCGGTCCGGGAAGATCCCACATGCTGTGGAGCGGCTGGGCCCATGAGCCACTGAGCCTGCGCGTCCGGAGCCTGTGCTCCGCAACGGGAGAGGCCACAACAGTGAGAGGCCCGCGTACGGCAAAAAAAAAAAAAAAATCTAGATAACCTTCCCCAAAGAAGCTATACAAATGGCCAACATGCACATGAAAAGATGCTCAGCAGGGGCTTCCCTGGTGGGGCCGTGGTTGAGAGTCCGCCTGCCGATGCAGGGGACACGGGTTCGTGCTGCGGTCCGGGAAGATCCCACATGCCGCGGAGCGGCTGGGCCCGTCCGTGAGCCATGGCCGCTGAGCCTGCGCTCCGCAACGGGAGAGGCCACAGCAGTGAGAGGCCCACGTACCACAAAAAAAAAAAAAAAGAAAGAAAGAAAAGATGCTCAGCAAAATTAGTCATTAGGGAAATGCAAATCAAAACCATTATGAGATACCACTTTGCACTCACTAGGATGGCAATAATAATAATAGCAACAACAGTGGAAACTAACAAGTGTTGGCAAGGATATGGTGCAACTGGAACCCTTGTGCATTGATGCTGGAACTGAAAATTGGTGCAGCCACTGTGGAAAACAGTTTGGTGGTTTCTCAAAAAGTTAAGCATAGAATTACCATGTGACCCAGCAGTTCTACTTCTAAGCTACACCCAGGAGAACTGAAAGCAGGTGTTCAAGCAGGTGCTTGTACTGGTGGCACTGGTTCATAGCCCAGGTATCCATCAACTGATGAATGAATAAGAGAGTGTGGGGTGCCCAGGCAATGGAATATTATTCAGCCACAAAAAGGAATGGAATAATTTTAAAAAGAGGGGGGAGAAAAAGGAATGGAGTGCAAATGCACACTGCGGCATGGATGGGCCTTGGAAATGTTATGCTGGGTGAAGGAAGCCAGATGTAGGGGTTGTATGATTCCATTTACATGAGTGTCCGCAGTGGCACAGCCTTGAGACTCAGAGCAGAGTGATAGTTTCTTGGGGGTTGGAAGGGTGAGGGTGGGGTTTGGGAGTGACTGCTTAGTGGGTATGGGGTTTGCCTTTAGGATGAGAGAGTTCTGGAAGTGGACAGTGGTGATGGTTGCAGGGCACTGTGAATGGAGTAAATGTCACTAATGGTAAATCTTATGTGTATTTTACCAAAATAAAAGATATATGTACATAAACTTTGCCATACCAACCCTACTAGGATGTTATTCTAATGATAAAATCATGAGTGTGGCAAAGATTTTACAAAATGAGGTTCCCTGTGTATCACTGCTATTATAAGCAATGGCAAAAGTTTGAAACTGCCGAAATGCCTAACCAGAGGGGCTCAGTTAACTGAGCAAGGGTACACACTGGAATGCTATGCAGTTACTAAAACTGTGCTACAGGAGTTTAATGACAAGATGTTAATACAGTTCAAAGTGAAAAAATCAATTTATCTCCTCCCCCCAAAGTGTGTGTGTGTGTGCATAGATATATATTCTAGGTAAATACACACAAAAGAAGTAAAAGGGATCTATATCAAAGGGGTAGCAGTGATTAGTTCTGGGTGGAATTATACACAGTTTTAATTTTCTCAGTAATAAAAAAATACTAATAAATACTTGCTAAGTATCTTGTGAACTATCAGCGACTGTTCTAGATTCCTTCATCTACCTATCTATCTATCTATCTAACTAACTATAAATTAAATTGTTTGATTCTCATAAAGACCCTGTGAACAAGGGTTAACTAACTTCTTCAAGGTTACATAGCTGGTAAATGGTGAAGCTGGGATTCAAACCCAGAGACCATTTGCAGAGTCTGAGATCCAACCATTATGCTGTAAGATCTTTTTGTTTAATCCATACATTCTAAATTTTCTTTGATGAGCACATCACATGTAAAAGGAAAGAAAGTTACTTGAAAAAAATAATCAACCTAACCATAAATTGTAAGAGCCGTCATCACCGTGGGGAAGGAAAACAGATATTTTAAAATTCTCCTATTTGTCAAGGTTTTCCAAATTTCCTGTAATGAATACAAATTGCTTTTAAAGTGGAAAGGAAAAACACCTCTCGACTAAGGTAAAACAAAGGATGGGGTCAGATTTTACATGCCTGAAAGGACAAGTCGAAGGACCCTGCAAACTCTAGCCCTGAAGTGACCAACTGCTTATGCACCAGAGGTGGGAGGGAGGGGACAGTGGGAGTCCCGTGTGAGCTCAGCAAGTGGAACAGAAGGAGTCCGTTCCACACCCTCCCAAGTGCATCTTGTCCTTACCTCTCAGGGCCTCCGCGTGCTCTCTCTCCAGGACTCTTCGCTGTTCATTCAGTTTCTCTCCAAGCTCTAGTTCCCCCTCCTTCACCTGGGGGCGGAGGGTCCAGAGCAGGATGAGATTGAGTAGGTTCAGGGCAGCCTCACTCATTCACTCACCGACACTGGAGCGTTTTGGAGGTTGGTGATCAGAGTCCTACCCGCTGATTGGAGCGACAGGAATGACATGTGCCCAGAGAGGGCACAAGGCCTCTAAGACACAGCAGGTGTGGCTGACTTTGCCCTCTTTAGGGCTTAGAAGGGGGCTCCCAGAGATTTACCAGGTGGAAAGGGATTTTGGAATCTTCTAATCCTGATGCCACTGAGGGCAGGAAGCCCTTTGTTATGTGTTTCCCCACCTTTTATTGCAAAGAATGAATATAATGAATTATATGCCAGCAGTTACAAATATTTGTTCAACAGATAAAGGACTCTCTTCCTGGCAAAACAAGTAAGAGATACTTACACCAACAATAAGACCAAAAGATGGCCTCACTCTGGGATTTAACATGGTTAGCAGAGCAGGAGGAAAAGAGGGGGGCTGGGCCTTACCTTCTGTGCCCATTTCTTCTTGTCCTCTTCGTGTTGTTGGAGAATTCTGGTGAGAGCCTTCTGGTGCTGCCCAGCCTCCTCAGATGCACAGAGATGGACAGTTGTGGCTATAGGTGAGGGAGGAAAAAAACAATCACAGAGCAGAGGCTGGGACCAGGCCCAGCAGAGAGGGTGTATGAGGCTCAAGCTAAGGGCTGGGGAGCCTGTCTCCTCCTCAAGAATGGTCTCAGCTCCAGAGGCAGCCCCTTAAATCTCCCTGGTTTTGGAGACCCTCCTTCATAAAGTGCAGGAGCCAGGGGTCTCATTTTGCCCCTGGGATCTATAGCAGAGCCGGTAACTCACGGGACACGTTCTGCCCATAAAGGAGCTATTTGCTCTACCCCAAGGGTTGCCAACCCCCGGGATCTAATGCCCAATCATCTGAGACAGAGCTGATGTAATAATAATAGAAATAAAGTGCACAATAAAAGTCATGCGTTTGAGTCATCCCGAAACCATCCCCCCTGCCCCCCCCCACGCCCCCCCCCCCCAATGCCCCAGTCCTTGGAAAAACTGTCTTCCACGAAAACGGTCCCTGGTACCAAAAAGGTTGGGGACGCTGCTCTACCCAATATCTAAATTAAAAACAAATAGTGGCTGATGCTTAATAACTGGGCAGATTTTACTTAATAGGACAGATTTCCAACCTATCTTGAAGAAGCCAAAGAAGTGGCGGTGTGTGCCTTAGTGTCAAAGCAGGAGCTGGGCTGAGGGGCAGCTGCCTTCCCCTCCGTCCAGGACGTGGCTCTGTCCCTTGCCACTGTCCTTACCTCTCCTCACAGAGGATGTGTGTAAGGGGCCACTTGGTCATACACGTTACCTGCTGGGCCCTGTGTCTGAGTGTGTGACTCCTCACCTTCAGCATCCCCCGAAGCGGGGGGCAAACAGGCTGCTGTGAACAGTGAGGAGACACAAACAGGAAACCCCCAAACAGGCCTGGTGATGCCACTCTGAGTCCAACAGGCTCTGGGTCTCACATAAGGCAGGGACCCACCCTCTCGGGGCTTCAGTTACCGAATACGTTAAACCAAGATAATGATAATACCTACCTCATGGGGCTATTGAGATGATTAAGTCAGAAAACAATGGTGATAAAAATAACAACAGCTGGTAAACAATAAAGAGCGCTTACCATGCTCAGAAACATGCCCAGCTCTGTTCCAAGTATCTCACAGGTATTACTCACTGAATCCTCACAACCACCCAGCGTGGTGGGCACTATGATTATCCCCATGTCACAGATGAGGGAACTGAGGGACAAAGAAATCACGTAGCCTAAGCAAGATTACCCAGTTCACAATCGGGATAAAGGACTGTGAACCTACACAATGTGATTCCACAGCAAACATTCTGAAGTACCACCTTGTTCTACCAGCTTATACATAAAAAGCAGTAATTGTAGGGCTTCCCTGGTAGCACAGTGGTTGAGAGTCCCTCTGCCGATGCAGAGGACACGGGTTCGTGCCCCGGTCTGGGAAGATCCCACATGCCACTGAGCGGCTGGGCCCGGGAGCCATGGCCGCTGAGCCTGCGCGTCCAGAGCCTGTGCTCCGCAACTGGAGAGGCCACAACAGTGAGAGGCCCGCTTACCGCCAAAAAAAAAAAAAAAAACCCAGTAATTGTACAATAGCCAACACATGGAAGCAACCTAAGTGTCCATCAACATATGAATGGATAAAGTAGATGCAGTATATACATGTAAAGGAGTGTTACTCAGCCATAAAAAAGAATGAAATTCTGCCATTTGCAACAACATGGATGGACCTAGAGGGTATTATGCTTAGTGCACTAAGTCAGAGAAAGACCAATACTGTATGTTACCACTTATATGTAGAATCTAAAAAATACAACAAATGAATGAATTTTAAAAAGCACTAAGTGTAGTGCCAGGCATTTGGAGGTGCTCAATAAGTACTCTTCATTGTTCACTAAATGTTCTCTAAATATTGCTCGGTGCTCATGACAAGCATTGGAGGCTAATACTAGCATTGTTAGCATTATTATAAATGTAGTAGTAATAGGGACTTCCCTGGTGGCACAGTGGTTAAGAATCCTCCTGCCAATGCAGGGGACACGGGTTCGATCCCTGGTCCAGGAAGATCCCACACACGCAGAGCAACTAAACCTGTGTGCGCCACAACTACTGAGCCTGCGCTCTAGAGCCTGCGAGCCACAACTACTGAACCCACGTGCCACAACTACTGAAGCCCGTGCGCCTAGAGCCTGTGCTCTGAAACAAGAGAGGCCATTGCAATGAGAAGCCAGCTCACCGCAACTACAGAAAGCCCGCGAGCGGCAATGAAGACCCAACGCAGCCATAAATAAATAAATAAATAAATAAATAAATAAATAAATAAATAAAGGAAATGTAGTAGTAATATTACTACAGAACTTCATAGGCCAGGTTGGGTACAAGATATGACGAGAAATGTGAGAAAAGAGGCTGTGGTCAGTCCATCAGATAGGAAGTCTGAGCCCTGGATCCTGGGCGGAGGCAGTGGTCATGATCAGCTCTCATAAATCATTTGGCTCGGGGTCCCAAACGTTGGTCAGCAGTACCAGACTGGCCCCAACTGGGGAGAAGCTTATTAAAAAGATTTATCATCACTAACAATGCAGAGTCTTCAGCCCCGCTCCCAGAGATCTTTATTTAGTTGGTCTGTGGTGAGGCCCCAGAATCTGTACTTTTTTTTTTTTTTTTTTTTTGCGGTACGCGGGACTCTCACTGTTGCGACCTCTCCCGTTGCGGAGCACAGGCTCCGGACGCGCAGGCCCAGTGGCCATGGCTCACGGGCCCAGCCGCTC